TAAAACAGGTTAAAATGGACAACATGGGTGTAGTATTTGGCACAGAATGAGTGTTCTACAATTGTTGGGTACTCCATGGAATTGGGCTCTGAATACTAGGGCAAGATACACTCTTGGAAGTATGAAATAGTTTCAAAATTCGAAGGTAAGCAGTGGCACTTGCTACCCAGTATCCTAAAACCTTGGCTGAAAGAAAGGAACATAAATAAGTTAGTGTTGAGGGTAGTGTTTCTTAAGTCTCAACATGGAATTTATCAGTAAGCTCTACTGAAGCCTTAGAATATCTCAAGACCTTGGGGAGTCAGACTCCAGCACTGAAGACATGGGTTTGGAAATCAATCGTCTCTTTTCTCAACCATGATCTTGGCAGGCTGGGCACAGGAGAAATAAGTGAGACTGGGAAGAATCCAGGGGGAAAATTCCCTTGGCCTGCTGTCACTCTGGCAGAAGCAATCCCAGATAGTCTTAGAAAAGGATTTCAGCTCAGATCCCTAAACCAGAAAAGAAAGGTTGTGTAGGGCAGTTGTCATGGGATGACCACCATTTATTTATCAAGATGGAGTGCACTTCCACTGTGCACAGGGGCACTGTGCCTGTGCTGGGCCAGTGGGGAGCAAGAAGGGGCTGGGCCCTCACTGTTCCTCAAGGCAACAGGGCCTGGGTGGCCTGGGTGATGTACACCATTCTAAAACTCTGTATGTTTTGCTAGGATGGCAACAAGCGTAGCTAGCATTTGTCACCACAGAATATTATAATGCTATTGACCATATTCTTTATGCTGTACCTTTCATCCCTGTGACTTACTCAGGCCATAACTGGAAGCCTGTATCTCCCACTCCCCCTCACCCATTTCACCCTTCCACCATCCCCTTTCCTTCTGGCAATCTTTGGTTTGTTTTCTGTATTTATGGACATGTTTCTATTTTTTTTATTTGTTTTGTTTCTTAAATTCCACATGAGTGAAATCATACGGTATTTGTCTTTTTTCATCTTATTTTACTTAGCATAATTTCCTCTAATTCCATCCCTGTTGTCACAAATGGCAAGATTTCATTCTTTTTGATGGCTGAGTAATGTTCCATTGTATATAAATACCACATCTTCTTTATCCATTCATCTGTTGATGGAAATTTGGGTTGCTTCCATATCTTGGCTATTGTCAGTAATGCTACAATAAACATAAGGGTGCACATATCTTTTCAAATTAGTGCTTTTTTTTTTCTGCAAGTGAATATCCAGTAGTGGAAATGATAGATCATATGATATTTTTTATTTTTACTTTTTTGAGGAGTTTTCATACTGTTTTCCAGAGTGGCTACAAGGCTTTTTGATTGCTTGACGTGGATTAGCTGAAGAACTCAGATCCAAACGTCACTGGAGTGATGCCTGCATAGCTAGGGAAAGTGTGAACAACAGCTAATTCACAAGTTTTGGACGTTAAATTCTGTCAATTTTTTCTTGTGTGGGCCCTGACCATGCAGAGCAGACATTTTGTGGTGGATTCAACTACTTCAAGAATGTATTACACAGGAGTACCTGGGTCACTCACTAGGACTAAGTGTCTGACTCTTGATCTCAGCTCAAGTCTTGATTTCAGGGTCATAAGTTCAAGCCCCATGTTGGGTATCACGATACCCAATACACAGTATTGCTTCTACCACCAGGGGACAGAAAAGCAGTGGGTAATCTAGAAGCCATAGATAAAACTAAATGCTTATCCTGGGCATTTGGAATGCCATTATTCTCTGGTTTTCATGAACATTGCACTCTGTCTTTCTCTTTCTCCAATCCTTTCTCTCTCTCTCTTTCTCTCTCTCTCTCTCTCTCTCTCTCTCTCTCTCTCACACACACACACACACACACACACACACACATGTTGATCTCTCTTACACTCTAGTAGCCCTAAGTGTTTATGGGCCTGTAAGTTCAGTTCTCAGTAAAGTTGATGAAAGAGAAGGTGCTATTTTCCTACCAATTTCCAAAACATATGCACATACTCACTTCCAAGCATTGGTCTGTATCTAGTAGGCCCATGATTCCTGTTTCTTTGCATGGCTCCCAACCACTAAAGCTCCATATGGCTCTGGAGGACATTTCTCCCCCTTTAGGATTTCCTTGGTATTCATCTCATCCTCATCTCACTTGTGTGAACATGAAAATGCTGGTGAGGGAATGCAGATGAGAGATGTTTATGTAGGAAGGAAGTGGGTGGGGAAACTTCCCTCCAAAATGTCTCTTTCTGGCTTGCAAAAAGACACTCATTTGCTCAGTTTCTAGTGCTGGGCACCCATTAGCACATTCAGTCTGAAAAGAACCAGGACCTAGCTTGGTAGAGCAAGGGGTTGAGCTTTGCTGGGACCCAGTCAGTCATCAACTATACAGGAAGCAGACACCATACCCAGTACTCTGGTGGCTGGGGGACTGTAGGAACACAGGCCAGTCCTCAAGGAGTGTTTGACCTTGGGAAAATAAGGCCCGCTCACTGTGACAGAGGACCTGAAGCTGGGAGGCGGACAACATGAGTCAGGACCCAAGGGATGATATGGAACAAGGGTGGCACAGGGTCTTGGAATCTCTGTCACCCCTATGGGCTAGGCCACTGTTGACAACAAAACATCAGGGAAGATGGGAGAAGCTCCAAGGTGGTGGGATCCTTCAGGATACAAACAGTGACTTCATCTTTGCAACCTGGTACCTAACAAAGCTTCTGGCTCAGATTTGGACCTATATAAATTTCTGTGAAAATGAACAAGGACATTCCAGGTAGGGGAATAAGGACTGACTAAACATTTGAAGTTGGAGAGATGTTATGTGTTTTGGGGGGGAAAGAGACTGGCCTACCTGTAGTGGGTGATTATTGCTGATGAGCAGCAGACAGTGACATTGGGATTAGGCCCCTGGAGGGCAGATTTGCCAGGATGGCTGGGATTGCAAGGTGGAAAGTGCAATGACACCTGAGCTTTGGCTCTAAATGGTCAAATGTGACACTTTATGGTATACTGTGTATATTTTTAAAAATCTGATTGAGTAGCACAGGGAAGTAGAAAGACATTGGGTTATGCTTAGAAGGCCTTGGTATACTTCTGGTTCTGATGGAAATAAGCTGTGTGTTTTTGGACAACTGGCCTCCCATCTCTGAGGCTCAGATTTTCTACTTTGTGAAATATGATAATTCCAAAAGCTCTTTCCAAACATAAATATGGTATGACTTTCCCATAGGAAATGGGGAGCCAAAGGGCAGACATGTCTGAAAGACTAGGTTGGCAAGAGTTGTGAGCAGGAGTGAGAGTGGGAATGATGGAGCCACAGGGACACCAGCTGGGAAAGAAGTAATAATAAGGACTTGACCTCACATACTAGCAATAGAAGAGGAAAGGGAGGGACACATTTAAAATGATCTTTAGCTGAGAATACACATGAATAGAGGGCTGAGAAAATGGTGGGAGACAGGAGAGGAGTCAAATCAAACATTAGGATCCTAAGGGACAAAACAAGGGAATGCAGAGGATAAGGTTGGGAGCAGGGCAGAGGCCAAAGTCTTGTTCAAACATGTGTCTGTGCCTGGAAGACATGAAAGCTATATGGCCAGGCACTGCACATACAGAGCTGTGTATAAACTGTGTACACACTGCCGGGCAGAAGTGGAGGGGCATGATGGGGAATAGGAAGGAAGGAGATTTCACCCTCTGGGCCAAGTTTGTGCTGAGCACTGTGGAGAAGCATGAGAAGTACAGACAAGGAAGCTCTAGGTCCCAGAGCTGCAGTACTCCTTCCTGGTAGCAGGGTTTGGTCAGGGAGCAGAAAGCATTCCAGAAAGAGAGGTGCCAGAGTTTGAAGGAGCCCAAAGTCAGACAAAAGATTCCCAATTCGCGGTCCAAGGACTGTGTCAGCAGTTGGTGACATTCTTAACAGATCACCAAAGAATGAGAAAATGTTACCATACTTTGTGGAGTTTGGTATAAGGTTGTGGAGCTCCATCTCTTTGGAAGGTCTTTTTTCTGTTTTCTCTTCTTGAGACTATACACTTTCTAGAGTCATTAATTTTAAAATTAAGTTTATTTATTGAAGTGATAGTAATTATAAAGGGCCTTTGCCCTTACTTGGGAAAATTAAAAGTTAGCCCTCTTTAGCAATTGTGCTATTTTTTTTTAAATAATCTTAGTTTTAGCAAATGCCAAAAGTCTGGGTACCATGAATGTGGTTGGTCCAGTTTTTCACTAACAAATATGGAAAAGGTGAGGTAGACAAAGGAAGTGACTTACTTGAGGTGGTATTTTATCAAATGCCTGAGAGAGGACTTGAACTCTGGATACATGACCAAAACCCAAACCAATAAAACCAAACAAAACAAAATAAAACAAAAACCAACCAAACGAAACCATACTTTGGCCAATGTCAAAATCTCAGCAGGAAATTCTCCTTCCCTCTTGTTTGCTCCTCACCACCATCCACCTTAAAGCCAGGCCTTTGCAATGATGGCAGGACCAGACTTGTGTGGCACCCACACCTGTCTTTTCCCAGACCTCCAGGACACCGTGCAAGGCTCTGGCCCAACCCTGTTCTCAGGAGACATGCTGTTGCCTGCTTCGTAACCTCACTGAAATGGAACCCATTCTCCCTTGCCTTCATCCAGTCTCTCACATCCCTTCAAACCACCTCTTCCTTTCTGGACTCTGGGGAAATTCCTAGTTGTGAGAAGTAATTTACTTCCAAGGTCTCCATGCTGCCTTTTACCCACCGGGCTTTCCATGCCCAGAGCAAATGATGTCATCATCGGGATAGGGATGTCCTGGGATGCTTTGCTGCCCCAGGGGACTGAGCTTAACTTTGTTCTGTGTGGCCCCAAGATGTAGAATGAAGCCCCTGAAAGGTTGGGAATCCACAGGGATTTGCCTCCAGGCTTCTGGTCTCACTTGGTTGTATTATTCACTCCTGTGCTTCTAATTACCATCTTTATACTAACGACTTACAAATCTTTATTTCGAGACCAGGCCTGCAACCTGGTGCTTCATATCCATGGAATATCCAGTAGCTTCCTCAATATCTCCATCTGTTTGTCTCAAGGACATGTTGTTCTCAACGATGGTTCCAGAACCAAACTTGTCATCACTCCTCATGCTCGCTCTTCATTTTGGTGAACAGTACCACTATGCACCCCTACTATCCACCTAGCAGATCAGACTAGAACCTAGCATCATCTCTAACCACATCCAACTGCTCACCAAGTCCTACTGATCTATCACCTAGATAAGTAATGTATGCTACCCACAGTGTATGTGTTTTAAGAAGTCCCTCCTGATCTGGTCTTCATCAGGTCTTGCCTGATTGCCAAAGAGATCCCTTAACCCATTTCCCTGTCTGCAGTCTCTCTAGTGCAAGCAGTCTTATACAGAGAAGCCAAAATGATCATTCTGAAAGGCAAATGTAAAATAATTTCTTGTCTTTAAGAATTAAATATACTGAAGTATTTAGGAGCAAAGAGATGTCACATCTGCAACTTATTCTTAAAATGTTCAGGGTAAAGAAAACAAAACATAGATAGATGATAGAAAGATAGATAAATACAGATATACGGTTGTATAGATAGATATGTATCTATATACATATAGCATATACATGTGTATCTGTATGTATGTATACCAGCTTTATATACATATATCTATATATACATATGGATCTCTCTCTCTTCCTCTCTGTGTATGCACACACACACACACACACACATCTTCTTCCTGAACATACATACAAATGTATCTCTCTATAAAAATATATACAAACAGGGGTGCCTGGGTGGCTCAGTGGGTTAAAGCCTCTGCCTTCGGCTCAGGTCATGATCCCAGGGTCCTGGGATCGAGTCCCGCATCGGGCTCTCTGCTCGGTAGGGAGCCTGCTTCCCTTCCTCTCTCTCTGCCTGCCTCTCTGCCTACTTGTATTCTGTCAAATAAATAAAATGTTTAAAAATATATATATATATACAAACATGTACACAGAGTAGGGTGGAAAAGATATCAACATTTGGGAATCTCAGTGAATCAGTGTGAAGGATATCTAGACATTTTTTATGCTGTTTTGACACTTCTGTAAGTCTGAAATTGTGTGAAGATAAATAATTTTTAAATAAATTCATTTTAAATGTAAAGAGTCTGTGTCATTATCTTACACAGAATCCCTCATTGTTTCCTTATAGCCCCTTCCTACAGGACCGAATCTAAGTTCTGACACAACACAGCCCACCTACCTTTCCTGCTTTATCTCACCACTCCCTGGTCATGCTTCTGCCCCATCAGGAAAGACCTTCCTGTAGTTCCTAGCAGACAACCTACTGTTTCTCATTGCAAAACTCATGTGATCTTTCTGACCCAATCCCCAACACCCACTCACCCCTTTCTGGCTACTGGGTAAGTCAGAGAAATGATTCAAACACATAGAATGGTAGATGGAGCTGGATAAACTTTCCATTTTCTGGATGGCTATGGTTTGTTGTTCCTTTTTTTTTTTTTTTTTTTGCTGTGGATATTTCCCCTCATCTTAGAATACAGATACAAAGGATTCTGAGGCATAGCCTTTTTGTTTTATTTTGTTTTGTTTTGTTTATTTGACAGAGATCACAAGTAGGCAGAGAGGCAGGCAGAGAGAGAGGAAGGGAAGCAGGCTCCCTGCGGAGCAGAGAGCCCGATGTGGGGCTCGATCCCAGGACCCTGGGATCATGACCTGAGTCAAAGGCAGAGGCTTTAACCCACTGAGCCACCCAGGTGCCCCCATAGCCTGTGTTTTAAGTGGGTTAGAGACAGGTGCAGAAAACTTGAGTAGTGCCTCTGGGGAGACAAAAGTCTCCCAATAGGACCCTTGAATCTGTGTGTTTTTTTTAACCTTCTATCACTCAATTGAGAGGACAGTTTTCATGAAGTCTGGTCCTGCTCCACTCCTGATTCTCTTTACAGAGATAAATAAATCTCTAGCCAGTCCCCTGTGAACTGTGTCAGGCAAATCTAAACTGGAGCCAGAGGCTTTTGTGTGCCCATACCTGTGTGTTTGTTTGCTGTGGTAAGGGCAGAGGTAAGAGGTAGACAAGGCACAATTTTCCTCTGCCAAGAAGTACCCTAACCTTCACCTTGCCCTTAGGGATGCCAACCAGTTATCATATCTAATTTTAAAAAGTACTTGTCAGACACCCCCTTCCCCAAGCAGGAAGGCATTCTGTTAAGGTCCCATGGATGGGGAGGAAGGACGTCTACTGGCCTGGAACACCCAGATCTGTAGGATGTAACAGCCACTTATACATCCTCTGACCTGGTGGGGGACACTTGGAGCTGGAAACTGCTGTTCTTTCAGGAGCATTTAGGAGGGCATGTTCCTTTCTCTAGCTTTAGGTTTGATGAAGATAAAGCAGAATCATGTATACAAACCATCTTGCTCTTCCAAACTTGAGGACCCTTACTTGATTTTCTGTATTGTTCAGAATCAGGGAAATACAGGGAAATAAGTGAGAGATACTGATACTGAACTAAAGAAAGAGAAGGCTAAGTTGATTTCTACATTAAGAAATGGATCATAGAAGAGAGGGGACAAGAAATGAGTATGCATACCTACTGGACATCTATTTGGTGGTAGAGATTCTATGCAGTTTTAGAAAGGAAGGAGAGTTTTTTTTTTTGAGGGTGGTAATTTCTATCTATGTGATATCTGTATCTATCCATCATCTATCTTTTGTCTATCTATATATCATCTATCTATCTATTTATGGCTGCGGTGGAGGGCAGCATGGCTGCGGTGGAGGACACTGCTTCTGCTTCTGCTGAGACATTCTGGGTTGGCACACAACTGAAAACAGAAAGACAAAAGAAGTGAGGAATGCCTTCACCATAGAGACACTCTGGGCTGGAGGACAGGCTCGGCCACATTCACATCCTTCTCTGCTTCTACTTTGCCCTGATGGCTTCACAACTTAAGATGTACATGTCTGTGTATAAATGTGCATGCATGTGTGTGTACATGTGTATTGAGTATAAGTTGTGACTAAAAGTTTATAAGTCATCTCAATTCTTTTTGAGACAGAGCAACACAGAAGGAATGAGGTAAGGAAGGAACAGGAGAAGTAGGGAGAAGGGAGAGAGAGAGAAGGGAAGACAAGGAGAACAAGAATAAAAAGTATGAAAAGACTATGGAGTCTGGAAGAGGATTGCCTAGGATCTGAGTCCTGGCTAAACTACTAACCTGCTGTGTGACTTCGATCAAGTTTCTTAGCTCTCTGTACACACCTCTCTTAGGGTTGTTGTAAAGATTAAATGGGTATATAAAATACATTGATATAAATATGCATAATACATGTATGTGCGTGCATGCACACATGTAGCCACACAGAGTAGCTAGCACACGATGAGCACAGTGTAAAGTTTTTGATTTATTAAATAAATTTCTAAAAATTTAAAAGAATGGGAAGGAGCCTCTCTTTTCCCTAGGATAACTATAGGAGAAAGGAGTCGACAGACAAAATGGACTTTTTAGCTTGAGTCTTATAGTTGAGGAAAACCAACCTCAGAGAGGGAAGTAATTAGTCCCCAGCTACTCATCATAGTAGGTAGAAATGGTGGTCCCCAATTCCTGGAGTAAGGTCTTGCCCCTATATCATCTTTTCCCTGCTGCTTTGTGTTCCTTGGGGTCTCTACACCCCTGTTCCCCAATGCAGTCTTCTCTTTTCCCTCCTCTTATTTGCCTTTTCCTTAAAGGGCAACTCTGCCAGGTCCTCTGCCCCAAGGCTGGTGTGCCCTCTCCTTCTGCTGGTTCCCTCTCAACATCTGGCAAGATACAACACCCATAACACACCAACAGGATTCTTAAGACACTGGTCTTTTGGCAGACTTTCCTCTCCCATCTCAGTCAAGCTCCCCACACCCTTGGCTGGATGGCTTGCAAACCACTATTGATTGGTCCCCAATAGTATGGAAAAGAGAAATGCCCAAACTAGGTCTTTCTTTCTGACCAACCACCCAGAGCTCTAGCCCTACACCCAGCCAGGTTGGGACCATGTAGAACAAGGCTGTAAAGAGAGGCACCACTTTGCCAGACTTACCAAGTTTGCCAGCAGCAGGAGTGTGGAGATTCCTAGGGGTTTGGGATGCTCTGAGTCTGCCCACCTTTTATACATCTCACATCCTTGCCTAAGGCCATGAGGTGGCCTAGGATTGGAGTGTTGTAATTAGTCCCTAGTCACAATAGGACCCACCTGTCCTTCCTCAAATTTCAGGTTTTACTCACCCCCTCAGGGATGGCAGCTTCCCTCATGGCATAGCAGGACTTGGGGGTGATGGTACCTTCACTCTGGCCTTGGCCCCACCTCCCCATCACTTTACGAGGCTGGCTGCCTTGGATTTCCAAACCCACTCATGACTTTTGACTTAGAACCTTGGCATCTGGGATGGTCCCAAGCAGGCATTCAGGTTGTGGGAGTGTGAGGGCAGGGCTCCAGGAAGTTGTTTGGCAGAGGGGAGGGGGTGGCATGGTAGGGTACATAGACAGCATTGTGTTAAGGGAAACTTAACAACTGAGGAGGTGAATGGCTCTCTGGAAGGCCCATTAAAAAATGCATGACTCTGACTTAACCTAGGCTCAGAGTCACATTCTACCTGAACTGGTAGAAAGACAGGGCAAATGGCTGGTAGAAAGACAGGGCAAATGGCTTTGATTTTGTGCATATTGTGATTTAGGCAATAAATGGGGGGGGGATGTAGTCCTCTGTTCTGCCTTCTATTGAGAAAACCATTAGGTTCCATTAAAGGAACTGGGTGGTTACTGTAGACAGTACTTATCTCTCATCTCTCTACATATGTATAAGTCACACAGACTCTGAGGTTCCCAGGGAAGTGATTATCATAAGGTGGACTGGGTGGGGGACCCAAGCACTAAATTAGAATGAGATCCTGGAGGAGTCACCTGGGCTGGTCTTGGATTCTGAGCTTCCAGGGCCCCATCCCAATTCTTTCTCCCCACTCCTGCTAGAGATTCCAGGACACAGAGCGATGGCACAGGGCATAAACCTGGATGCCCTCCATATCTGGCAATGGTTGGAATATATCTTTGAAACACCCCCAAGAAGTGTTTAGAAGGGGGCTCTGACCTT